ACAGTGTGGACACGTGAGGGTGAAGTATCACACAGCGTCAACATACACCACAATGTCGATATATAGGATATGATATACCACATCCTCAACTCAAAGGTATTACAATATCTAACAGTGTCAACAAACGATGTATAGCTATACCAAAACGTCAGATGTCAAGGACAAATAGTATCACTGCGTAAAAACAAATAGAATACATAACAAAGCGTCAATATGCAAAGATTGAATGTATAATAGTGACAACACAGAGAGACTGATTTCTCAACAGCTTAATACAGATGAATCCATCTTAAACTGACTAACTGATGATGATGAAATAGTTCGTTTAACAAACAATAATACCCTTTTTCTTTTGTAGATATTTCGTATTTTCATACAGTACCTCATAAAGAAAAATGTATCGACAGAAAAGGTTCCGTTCAAGATTGCCTGGAAAGTAAATCGTTTTCCTATTTTTGCAGCTTGCAGAGGGTTTTCTGAAAATATAAGTATCGGGAGTTAGTTTTCAGGTAAAGTCTCCAAGGTTGATTACTGTACATGTAATTATATACAAGGATTTGAAATCTTTGTGTTCCGATTCAAATATAATATTTTCTGTTGTCCTTATGATAAAAAATCTGGGTACATATAAATCTGTACTTTTGGCAGGTAGATAACAAAAACATCGCGCTAACTTGAGCGAATTAGTCAAAGGCAAAACATCTGAAAAATATCTGAGGAAAATATAAGGAAATTGAATCATTTATTTATTTTTTATTTCATTTCTCCCAAAAGTAAGTCCATCAGACTGTCTTTCGTGGTATACTTATTTTTTGTTTGTTTTATTTATGCTTTTGTTTATTTTTTTTCGATTTTAGTATAACAATTACTTCAAAATGTTATGACTAAAACAAAACAAATATCTGAAGAGGGTGCTGCGACAAAATAAGATATTTGACAAAACTACATTTAAAATATTTATGACAATGTAAAACCGGTTGTACCCGTTTTATGTTCAGAACATCGATACAGTTTTATGTTTTGATATTTTCTTATGCAGATCCGTGTAGGTGAGGTAAATAATTTAATCATGCAATCGTCCTCTCCTTTAGATTGTTATGCTATGAGTTTAAGTAATTACCCCGAGGTTACCAATGTTTAAAACGTTACGAATGTCTATCCTTTTAAATCTAATTCAAAATCTAGTAAAATAACAAAATAAATTGATCTACTTACGAACTACTTGATAAGATATTGGTAATTCAAAAGTGTGTCCGAGGATGACCCACCACATGCTGAGCACGCGCATGCCATTGAGGGAAGACAATGGACTGGATGCTGTAGAAGTCGACAGTAACTTCTCTGTGTTCTTCACGAAAGAAAATGACGTCATGATTGACGTCAACATCGGCCATCTTTTTACTGTAACCACAGCAATGAATTGAATAAAAATGATATGCATCTGCATAGAAATTATAGCAAAACAGAGGACAATGTATCATTTGTTCAGGCAGTTCACTTCTTAAAACGTTATCATTAAACAAATTCATATAACACCAACCTACATATATAATAGTCACAAAGTTGTTAATAATTATAACACCTGCATTCTATTATCTGCATTCTGTAAGCTTCGAAATGAAGACCGTTTACATGGCCTAGTCATTAGTTATATATATGGTCACTATACAAGGATAAATTGAAAAAAAAACCGGCAAGACTTGAGAAAAAAAAAAAAAATACAAAAAAACATTTATATTTTCCTAAACACGGAAAATGTCCCTGGAATAACCAGGATGTACAAAGACGTACAAATGAAAATTGAACTATTGTCTCCAAATCTCAAATCAAATTCAAGCATATGTCTACAAATTAGCAATTGTAAACAATGAAATGTTACCAACAAGGCTAGAAAAAGTGTACATACTAAATTAACCTCCTCACGTCAATATTTTGAAACAAGATTTTTGTCTTGCCGTGTTACAAATCACACTACTGAATTCAACTACAAATGAATCATCTCAACAAATTCTGAACGATGTGATGCTATTGATGATGTCGACTGTGCAAATTATATTTATTTGAAACTAAATATCACGCGAATTGAATCTGAAATTGTGTATGTTATTTCATATTTGAAGTCATTCACTCTGTTATTGAAAAATGTTCCATACCATCTATGTATTTATAACATGAAAATTGATTAATCTCTTTGTAAAACGTCACATAATAAAACAATTGTGGACTTCAGTTTTTTGGTCTATCCCTTATTAACGGACTTGGTCTGAATACTATGAAGGCATATCCAACTCGAGTATTGGCTTTTTGGTTTTCGATCACGATACTCGGTTATATTCTCCAGATAGGGGATGCTTATTTTTCTCCCATATGATATATTAAAGCATTTGCTATATGTTTTTTCCGTAATTTGCATGTGACCTCTTTCCTCGAGAGCTGATTGTGGCGTAATATCTTACTATATTGTGACGTCAACGTATTGTGTGTGTGTGTAATATTTATCATACCTTTGAGGGTGACAGAACAGGTAGCACTGACACTTATGTAAATGGTAAGAGAAAAACGGTATATGGGCTGTAGTTTTGTTGCCGTGTTCACTGGGTATCAGAAACAAAAAATTATGGTAATTCAAGCATGAACAACAAATTATGGTAATTCAAGCATGAACAACAAATTATGGTAATTCAAGCAAAAAAGACATTACCTCTATTACTGGCTGGATGAATCAGCGGATTTTCTTCAAGAGAAACGGACGTGCTGGACAAAAGTCCAGTCCTTTCATTTGTTTGAATGACTCGTCCGTTCATCTGCCGGTTAGCGTCCTGTTTATGTCCAACATCGTCCGTATACCTTAGGTATATGTCTATCAGAGTCCCAATACATACCAGCAGTCCCAGTATACCACACACCACCCTGTCGAAACAATCAGGTTATATGACGTCATGTGGGTTTTATAACGTCATCTAAATATAGCCACATCATTGTATTTATAATCACTGTGAATACTGAGCTTCCTTACTTAATACCTCATTCCTTCATATGTATGTGTCCTATTCAAAGAAAAAGCATGGGACCACCGTGAGTAAACGACGTGTACGACTGTACCTTGTGGTGTGTCACCTAGTAAAACGGGCTTAACCACTATGTTGTATGTAAGAATCAAGACTTCACAGCACCGTGTCACCTTTTTTATAAGTAAATACATGTAACTAGAAATACAGGTGTGGCACTTTTTAATAAGTACTTCAATATAAATGAATTTATTGTATTTTTAAAGTATGTGCATTGATTTGCTAAAGTACGTTTTCAAATTGTATGTATGTCATACCGTGTTCAGTGATCTGTTGAAAACCTATGGGTCCTATAATTACAGCCCGGTACAGCCCGGTATAGCCCGGTACAGCCCGGTATAGCCCGGTACAGCCCGGCACAGCCCGGGACAGCCCGGTAGTGATATATTGACCGCCCGGGCGTTTGTCTCCACTTATACACCATAATGATTGTATTTTTTGCATTGTTTGTAACAGTATGAATGTAGTGATCAAAAAATGGTGAAAAAAAATACATATTTATACAGAAGAGTAGTGACTATTATTTTCAACGCCGCTCTTACAGTCTTCATAAAAACCGTCCTTTAGTTAAACCAATGATGGTTGTTGGTTCGGATGGCTATGTGCTGAGCGTTCTTGGACCATATATGGCAGACTACAGTAACAATGATGCAAGCATCATCAAGCACATGATGAACAAGAATTCAGAAGACATGAAAGGTAAACATACAATTTATTTTAATATTCATATAATCTATCAGCATTGAAATAGGATAACTTTTGAATTTATATATGAAGTTAACGTCTTTTGTAAGAGGTCATTTTAGCAAATAAAATGGACAAAACTTGACCATGAATGCAATATTAATTTATTGAAGTTGTCGGTTAATTCATAGATGTATTTATACAGAACACTGGATCTAACACTGCATGTATACCTCTAATGTTGAAATATAGTTAATTCAGATGTCATTTTTTTTTCTGGTGAGGTTTTCATTTTGGAGTCATTACACTGTATACTTCACCTGATAAATAATTATGTAGCAACTGAATTTCCAAGATCAGTTTATGTTTATAAAAATAACCAGACCATGAAAGTAAGTTAGATCACATAATCATTTACTTTAAGCCAGTGGCATAGATAGTATATATATTAATATTTATTTCTAACCTTCATTGCAGATTGGTTAAAGGAGAATGATGTCATGGTGGTGGATAGAGGCTTTAGGGATGCTGTGGAATTTCTACAGGAAAGTGGGTTGAGGGTAGAAATGCCTTCCTACCTTCAGAAAGGTGCAAAACAGCATACCACTGAAGAGGCAAACCTTTCAAGGCTAGTCACAAAGGTTAGATGGGTGGTAGAGAGTGCCAATGGTAGGCTAAAACAGTGGAGACTCCTTGATAAAGTTGTTCCAAACACTCTTGTACCCCAGATCGGCGATTTTGTCCGAATCATTTGTGCAATATGCAACAAGTTCCGTCCACCTTTAGCTAATATGGACCCACAATTGGAAGAGGAGGCCACGAAGATGTTGGAAAAAGTGTGTCTGTCTAATAAAGTCCAGGAGTTTGTGGAAGAAAATAACCTGGTGAAGAGGAGAGTTCCTTATAAGAAAATTGATAGTATCAATGATGTATTATCTGATTTTCCTCACCTAAGTATGGATGATCTTAGGAGTATTACCATGGGTGTGTACCAGATCAAGCAATGCATCTGCTATTCAAAGGAACATTTAAGTGATGAGGGAACATACGACTTAATGTTTTGTACAGAATTCCCAAGTTTGCTACAAGTCAAGATACAATCTCGTCATTCAAAGAACTCGGTACATACACTTTGGATCAAGTACATATTGGAGGACATGTCTTGCCCAATATCTGGATGGTACTGCACCTGCAAAGTTGGAGCACGAGTGGTAGGCTGTTGTGCCCATGTAGCCAGTGTGTTATGGTATATTGGATACCAAAGACACCAGGATGATCCTTTGGCAAAGGGGAAAAAGTTAGCACAGTGTCTGGATGATGCCGGGGAAAATGCAACTGTGGACAATACTGAAGAATGATTTCTGGTACAAATTGTAAAGTATACAATACCCAGCTGAACATATGCATTGTAATGTATACAATATACAGCTGAACATATATATTGTAACTTATACAATATACAGCTGAGCATATACATTGTCATGTATACAATATACAGCTGAGCATATATACATTGTCATGTATACAATATACAGCTGAGCATATACATTGTAACTTATACAATATACAGCTGAGCATATACATTGTCATGTATACAATATACAGCTGAGCATATATACATTGTCATGTATACAATATACAGCTGAGCATATACATTGTAACTTATACAATATACAGCTGAGCATATACATTGTCATGTATACAATATACAGCTGAGCATATATACATTGTCATGTATACAATATACAGCTGAGCATATACATTGTAACATATACAATATACAGCTGAGCATATACATTGTCATGTATACAATATACAGCTGAGCATATATACATTGTCATGTATACAATATACAGCTGAGCATATACATTGTAACATATACAATATACAGCTGAGCATATACATTGTCATGTATACAATATACAGCTGAGCATATATACATTGTCATGTATACAATATACAGCTGGGCATATACATTGTAACATATACAATATACAGCTGAGCATATACATTGTCATGTATACAATATACAGCTGAGCATATACATTGTAACGTATACAATATACAGCTGAGCATATACATTGTAACATATACAATATACAGCTGAGCATATACATTGTCATGTATACAGTATACAGCTGACCATATATACATTGTAACGTATACAATATACAGCTGAGCATATACATTGTCATGTATACAGTATACAGCTGAGCATATATACATTGTCATGTATACAGTATACAGCTGAGCATATACATTGTCATGTATACAGTATACAGCTGAGCATATATATATTGTCATGTATACAGTATACAGCTGAGCATATACATTGTCATGTATACAGTATACAGCTGAGCATATAAATGAAATTGATAGTCCATCAGTCTGTTACAATTAAGTTTCTATTGTTGTGTTTTAATAACACCAAGTTCATTTTGATTCTGAATTGAGAACGTTATTTTTTCAACGTCTAATTCTTAATTATTTTTTTCTTTAATCTCCTTTAAATACAAAGAAAATGAGAGTTGCTTTTGACTTGCAGCAATTCTTATTTATTAATAATGTACTACATGTACTTGTTTTGTGAAAACCACAATAATCAAACAAAAATCATACAATATATAGTTAACTTTCTTATTGTAAATGAAAATGAATGTATGTATCAAATATGTGTATATTTTAGTGATTTGTATGCTTAATAGATGTAAATAATGAAAGTTGTAATGCAAAAATACTTGTTGCTGCGATCAAAATGTTTATAATGCACTATTTGGTTTTGTAAAGTTCATTACAATCAAACAGAAATCACACAATATATAATTTACTTCTTATTGTAAATGAAACTGAATGTATGTATCAAATAAGTGTATATTGTAGTGATTTGTATTTAAAATATAGTAATAATGAGATTTAATCATTCATCCAGTAAATCTGTTAATCAAATGAAGTACAACTTGTTGAGAGGCGGAGTTTCACTTGACCAACAGTAACACAATTGATTTTAAATTCATTTAACAGTACCCTATATCAAAATATTTACCGATTTAATATGGTGAGCTGCTGTTCCCAGAGTTCATCTTTCTATGTGTTGAAGCCAGGACCATACTTTGCCAATAATTAAAACAATTAAAGAATCCTTAACTATATATTTGTCGTTTGGTCTTCTTTTTGATAATGTCAGTTGCTATGCAAAAATGCTTGTTGCTATGGTCAAAATGTTGTATTTGGAAAATCACTAAAATTAAATGGAAATTACACAATATATAGTTAACTTTCTGGATGTAAATGAAAATGAATGTATGTATCAAATATGTGTATATTGTAGTGATTTGTATGTAAAATAGCCGTAAATAATGTCAGTTTCTATGCAAAGATGCTTGTTGCTATGGTCAAAATCATTATATTTTTCTTTTATCTCTGAATAAATAAAAAGAAACTGTTAGTCTAAGATAACAAATATTACAGCTGTAATAGGAACATGAAATTTTGAGTTCAAAATGTTAATTTTAACACAAAATGTTGTCTTTTTAAACCAGAGCTGAATATGTTACTATGGCCCGTTGCTATGGCCTGTTGCTAAGGACAAACACAAAAAAACATTTTAAGTTTTACAGAATTTGTTAGGTCTTTACTTGCACATTCCATTGGTATAAGTATAAAGGGAATAATGCATGGGGCCAAAAACACCCCTTAGTGCATATAGTCCTTTGACCGAGTTATGGTTATTTGAAATTAGTAACATCGCAACAACCCGCTGGAGTAGAGCCAGACATTTGTTATTTGTAATACAAACACCGCCCGGGCTTTCACCTGTGTAGTAAACTGTACTGAAGTAACTTATTCTCATATCTTTAGAAACGAAAAATACAAAACTGAAAGAAATATGAAAATATGTTCATAATTAGCCAAGTTGTTGTAACGTAACGAAGTATCTAAAGTTAGGTCAGCATAAATCTTTTTATGATGAAGATATTTTCACACTGTCTTTTATTTTTTATTTCTCATTCATTAAATAACCCGAGTAAAGTACTTAGATTAAATTAACTTTACATGGTAACGCCCGGGCAGTCTTAATATTGTAAATAACAAGTCCTGCAGTGTTGGTTAATTTCAAATTACAATAACTTGGCTAATTATGAACATATTTTGATATTTCTTTCAGTTTTGTATTTTTCGTTTCTAAAGATATGGGAATAAGTTACTTCAATACAGTTTACTACATAGGTGAAAGTTCGGGCGGTGTTTGTATTGCACATAACAAATGTCTGGTTCTACTCCAGCGGGTTGTTGCGATGTTACAAAGTTCAAATAACCATAACTCGGTCAAATTTAATGATTTTTTCACCATTTTTTGATCACTACATTCATACTGTTACAAACAATGCAAATAATACAATCATTATGGTGTAAAAGTGGAGACAAACGCCCGGGCGGTCAATATATCACACCGGGCTGTCCCTGGTTGTGCCGGGCTGTGCCGGGCTGTACCGGGCTGTACCGGGCTATACCGGGCTGTACCGGGCTGTAATTAGTAGAACCGGTTGAAAAGGATGCAACGTGATTGGTACGCCCCCTATAATCGAAAATGTGTCAAAAAAGGGGGGATAACTCTAATATTGAGACAGACTCTGATACACGCCAAACGCATAGAAGCGATCTTTTACAATAAAAAACGACTATTAGGCATAGTAACAGCCGCTGATATTTACATTTGCACTGCAATGTCACTATGTAAACCAAATAAACTTCCTTTCGGGTCATCATACTCTGAACCTAGAAGTAATACGAACGACCGAACAGTAAACAAACAAATACGGAAGTCACGTTTGACTCAAGTTTGTACTTTTCGGGTGAGAAGTTGACTTTTCAACCCAAGAAACCGTAGCTATAACATACAATTCTTTTATCATTACTACGTACTACAACTTTCAGAGGGAGTACATGTTATTTTTAAAAATCACAATGAATACTGTCTTCAGCCATGCCACAGGCCAATGGTGTAGTGTACACTGTGTCTGCTGCCTTTTGTTTGTTTGCCTATACTAACCAGAGTAGACTGTGTAATGTGAGATGTGTTGTAATTGTGGTTAACAGGAATACGTACAATGATGTGATGTCACCGTTAGAATAGCTCTTCTCCTTGTCACATACAGCTAGAACAGGCTTTGGAGGACCCGATCCGTTATCAATCACTGTAAATAGAATTCATAATAGAATACCAACGTTTCAACAAAACTCTGTGGTTGGGTGCCTGATTGCGATCGGACGCGAACAGTTATTTACTCACCTTGCCCCAACACATGAATTTTCTCCGGGTACTACGGTTTCCCCCGACTTTAAGACTATCTTTACGCTTTCATCCGGGCCAACTCGGATGATTACATTAATATAAATTGCAATAGCTGATGTAAAATAAATACAGTTTATATTTTAAGAAAACCGAACTCACTTTCGATATAGCTATGGCAACTAATATAAACAAAATATGTTGTTTTTTTTATATTTGGAGACTTCTGAAAGAGTACAGGGGATATAGACCACAAGTTCCGGAAGGAGGAACGAATTCTGTTTGATTGACGAAAACACCTATTAAAATCTATGTCAAAATGATAAGGTAAAGGTGTTAGATATAGTAAAATGACACGCACTTAGTTTACTATATTTTAGGCGAACTATAGGTATTTATAGATGCTTTATTCTGGTTTTAGCAGGCTATTAGCATACGTCGTCGTATGAAGACGGGTTGTCTTCGGAGGGATGAAAAGGAAACATATGGAAGTGAGAAAAGATAGGATAGAGACATACTATAACTAACAAATCAGTTTCAGTTTCTTCAATGTACAAAGGAGAACAAAGGACACAGGGGAACGAAGGAAAAAGAGAACAAAGGACACAGGGGAACAAAGGACAAAGGGGAACAAAGGACACAGGGGAACGAAGGACAAAGGGGAACAAAGGACACAGGGGAAATCAGTTTCAGTTTCTTCAATGTACAAAGGAGAACAAAGGACACAGGGGAACGAAGGAAAAAGGGAACAAAGGACACAGGGGAACAAAGGACAGACAAAGGGGAACAAAGGACACAGAGAAACGAAGGAAAAAGAGAACAAAGGACACAGGGGAACAAAGGCCAAAAAAGAACAAAGGACAAAGGGGAACAAAGGACACAGGGAACAAAGGACAAAGGGGAACAAAGGACACAGGAGAACACAGGACACAGGAGAACAAAGGACAAAGGGGACCAACGGACAAAGGGGAACAAAGGACACAGGGGAAATCAGTTTCAGTTTCTTCAATGTACAAAGGAGAACAAAGGACACAGGGGAACGAAGGAAAAAGAGAACAAAGCACACAGGGGAACAAAGGACAAAAAAAAACAAAGGACAAAGGGGAACAAAGGACACAGGGAACAAAGGACAAAGGGGAACAAAGGAAAAAGAGAACAAAGGACACAGGGGAACACAGGACAAAAAAGAACAAAGGACAAAGGGGAACAAAGGTCACAGGGGAACAAAGGACAAAGGGGAACAAAGGAACCAGGAGAACAAAGGACAAAGGGGAACAAATGACAACGGGGAACCAAGGACACAGGAGAACAAAGGACAAAGGGTAACAAAGGACACAGGAGAACAAAGGACACAGGAGAACAAAGGACAAAGTGGAACAAAGGACAAAGGGGAACAAAGGACAAAGGGGAACAAAGGACACAGAGAAACGAAGGAAAAAGAGAACAAAGGACACAGGGGAACAAAGGACACAGGAGAACAAAGGACAAAGGAGAACAAAGGACAAAGGGGAACAAAGGACACAGGAGAACAAAGGACAAAGGGGAACAAAGGACACAGGAGAACAAAGGACAAAGGGGAACAAAGGACACAGGAGAACAAAGGACAAAGGGGAACAAAGGACACAGGAGAACAAAGGACAAAGGGGAACAAAGGAAACAGGAGAACAAAGGACACAGGGGAACAAAGGACACAGGAGAACAAAGGACAAAGGGGAACAAAGGACAAAGGGGAATAACGGACAAATGGGAACAAAGGACAAAGGGGAATAAAGGACACAGGGGAACGAAGGAAAAAGAGAACAAATGACACAGGGGAACAAAGGACACAGGAGAACAAAGGACAAAGGGGAACACAGGACAAAGGGGAACAAAGGACAAAGGGGAACAAAGGACAAAGGGGAACAAAGGACACAGGGGAACAAAGGAAACAGCAGAACAAAGGACACAGGGGAACAAAGGACAAACGTGAACAAAGGACACAGGGGAACAAAGGACAAAAAAAGAACAAAGGACACAGGGGAACAAAGGACAAGGGTGAACAAAGGGCAAATGGTAACAAAGGACAAAGGGGAACAAAGGACAAACGGGAACAAATGACACAGGGGAACGAAGGACAGAAAAGAAAAAAGGACAAAGGGGAACAACTTGACAAAGGGGAACAAAGGGAAACAAAAGACAAATGGGAACAAAGGACAAACGGGAACAAATGACACCATGGAAAAAAGGACAAAGAGGAACAAAGGGCACATGGGAACGAAGGACAAAGGGGAACGAATGACACAGGGGAACAAAGGTCACAGGGGAACGAAGGGCACAAGGGAACAAAGAACAGAGGGGCACGAAGGACAAAGGGGAACAAAAGACACCGGGGAACAAAGGACACAGGGGAACTAAGGACAAAAATGAACAAAGGACACAGGAGTACAAAGGACACAGGGGAACAAAGGACACAAGGGAACAAAGGACAAAGGGCAACTTAGGACAAAGGGAAACGAAGGACACAGAAGAACAAAGGACACAGGGGAACAAAGGACACAAGGGAACGAAGGACACAAGGGAACGAAGGACAAAGGGCAAAGTAGGACAAAGGGGAACGAAGGACAGAGGGGAACAAAGGACACAGAAGAACAAAGAACACAGAGGAACAAAGGACACAGGAGAACAAAGAACAAAGTGGAACAAATGACACCATGGAACAAAGGATACTTGTGAACAAAGCACACCGGGAAACAAAACTAAAAGGGGAACAAAGGACACAGGGGAACGAAGGACAAAAAAGAACAAAGGACACAGGGGAACGACGGATACTTTGAACAAAGCACACAGGGAAACGAAGGAAAAAGGACACAAAGGACACAGGGTAACGAATGACAAAAAGAACAAAGGACAACGGGGAACAAAAGACAAAGGGGAATAAATGACACCACGGAACAAAGGAACCAATGACAAAAAAGAACAAAGGACACAGGGGAACAAAGGACACAGGGGAACGAAGGACAAAGGGGAACAAAGGACACAGGGGAACGAATGACAAGGGTGCACAAAGGATGACGTTGAACGAAGGAGACAGGGGAACAAAGGACACAGGGGAACGAAGGACAAAGGGGAACAAAGGACACAGGGGAACGAAGGACAAAGGGGAACGAAGGACAAAGGGGAACGAAGGACAAGCAAGAACAAAGGACACAGGGGAACAAAGGGCACAGGGGAATGAAGGACAAAGGGGAAAAAAACCAAAAAGGGAACAAAGGTCACAGGGGAATAACGGACACAGGGGAACGAAGGACAAAGGGGAACGAATGACAAAGGGGAACGAAGGACAAGAAAGAACAAAGGACACAGGGGAACGAAGGACAAAGGGGAACGAAGGACAAGAAAGAACAAAGGACACAGGGGAACAAAGGACACAGGGGAACGAAGGACACAGGGGAACAAAGGACACAGGGGAACGAAGGACAAGGGGGAACGAAGGACAAAGGGGAACGAAGGACAAGAAAGAACAAAGGACACAGGGGAACAAAGGACACAGGGGAACGAAGGACAAAGGGGAACGAAGGACACGGGGGGGGGAAGCAATGGGGAACAAAGGACACAGGGGAGCGAATGACAAGGGGGCACAAAGGACACCATGGAACGAAGGACAAAGGGGCACGAAGGAAAAAGGGGAACGAAGGACACAGGGGAACAAAGGACCCAGGGGAAAAAAGACAAAAGGGAACAAACGACAAAGAGGAACGAAGGACAAAGGGAGACAAAGGACACAGGGGAACAAGCCGATTATACAAGGTGACATACATTATAAGGGGCCCGGTAGTCGAGTGGTAGGGCGCCGGGCTCGTGACCGAAGAGTTGCGGGTTCGAGTAACTGTGTTGAATATTTGACCAAGATACTTTACTGCGCTTGTTTCAGTCTACTCAGCTGTAAATAATTACGTGGTTAGGCAGCGCTAGAAGTGTTGAATGCTAGCTGTTAGCGCCGAAATGGCAGCTCCGGCTTTAGCAGCCCAGGGAGTTGAAAATATATTGGCTGGTTGCAAAGGCTCTATAACCACGGATACTAATGAGTTAACCCCTTTGAGACGACCTACGAACTAGGTTGTGATATAGCGGTATATAAGAACATTGTATTATTAGTATTACTATTAGTATACGTCTCTTGCGATACCATGCAATGGGAAACAGCTGGCCTATTTCTGCAATCTGTATCAACTTTTCTTTAGCTTACTGCATCATTAAAGTAAAACTTGAATCGCTTACATGTTCATTCATAACTTAATGTATACATCATAGGTTTAAATATTGCCGCCAGTAGTAATACACGATTAATAATGCTTTCTAAACAAACGAAAATGTTCCATGAACTGAATCTTGTATTACGTGTTTCTATGTGACGTTTCAATGACCGGTATGGGATATGGGACAAAGTACATATTGTACTATTCTTCGCAACGTTACATAGATACAGGCATTAATTGTGCAACAAGAACCTTTTCATAATCCATACTTACTAACCTGAAGCAAACGTTAAGAAAAACACGGTAACGTTGTTTGATTGTTTTTGTTAGTTTAGCGTCGTTCTGTTTAACTTTATCCCGGCGCCACAAGAACATATGCGAGAATGTTTGGTTACTTACAGCTACGTAGTAACGCCTTCACGTCGTCCTCGCTACAACTGTTTGGTACGCACGTACCGAAACTTAACGGTTTGTATCCCATCACCTAAAACATAGACAGAGTACGTGGTGACGCTGATAATGTCGACGTCATAGTGACCTATACATCTTAACAGATTTCTTTTCTCCTATTCCTAGAGTCCTATTTATATCTTCTTTCTACATCCATAATTGGAAATAAACTGTTGAATTTGAAATTAATTGTCTATGTCATCACTTGTATATATACAATATTGCTGATAAGAGATGGCTTCATAAGTTGCTATAACAAATCCTTTGTACATGTACCGATTTTGGACAAAAAATATGTTTGAAGTCAAAAGTCATCCCTTATTTGTATGCGAATCTTTGAACATAAATATACTATTAAAAGTACTAGAACTGCTTTTTTGGCATGTTATTTTGGTAATGTCGACATTGTCATCGTAACGTTTGACTTTTCGTTTCATATCGCCTGTTGTTTGACTTGGAATCAATCACTCAGATGAAAAGATTGTTTGAAGTGGCGTTTGAAAAGAACATGTCTTTGTGAACATAAACATGGCAGATGTGAGCATAAATATTTTAGAACGAATATATGCTAAATACAAACATGCTATTAAAACTTGTTAATTCAAGCACACTACTGCCAATGAAATAAACATCAAATATTTGGTTTTAAATGTGATCCATTCATAATATTCCCCGTTACTTAAGTCATTAGTGATCTATGTCACTGTGTTTGATATGATATACAGTATATAATCTTAAGTTAGATTGTCATGAAAGATGTGGTACTTTTACAGTGTAGACTGAAACACGTCTGGTAGGAAACCCATTATAACTGATTTACTGTTCAGCGCTATCGCTCACCGGTAAATATTTCAAGGTTGATGTTAAGCAATACTGTCCGGTGATTTGATGACCACTGGGCAGTGAAGGAGACTGGACAGACTTGCATTCATCATAGCTCCCGAGCCATAACCAATGCCCCTGCATTATGCCGCTAGGAATCTTTGTGTCAGCATCCAACACTTGTTAAAAAATTCAAACGGCATTAACACATTCATCCCTGAAATTTCATAATGAACTATTCCAACCTTTGAATTAGAGGAGTTCAAATGTATCTTCAAGGGTAAATGAGTTAAAAACAAACAAAACACAATAAAAAAACTACTTTAAAATCTCTGATAATTTAACAAATGCTGTGCTATTAAGTTAATTGCATTAAAATTGAAATAATGCGAAGATAATATGTAAAGTTCGCTTAATGAAATGTCAATACTTAGTAGACTTAGATATCGCTCATATATTTGTATACATGTAACAACACCTCTGATTGGATAATCTAATTAATATAACGACTTGCACGATTCGCAGGTCATCCTGGAACAATTATATTTTCCTGTGAAATTCAAAGAGTAGCATTTCTATTTCAAATGTGTTTTCTTATGTTTACATTATCATGTCAGTCGTCACATCATACTTACTGCCAATAGCGTACGGTTTCTTCGCTAAGATATCCAACATCACTTGTTTGGTATCGTTCAAACAGGTAAACGATACCTCATATGGACCTCCGGTTTGTTTTTCTGCAGAAAACACGTTCGCTTCTCTAATTTCGTCTGAATGTTTTTGATAATATAAATTTCCGGTATCCTTTTGTATACCTTCAAAGTCCCGAAGCAGGGAGCCAATTATTCCATCGCGAAGAAACGATCTACTCATGTCTAAGACATTTTCAACAAATTTGTCGTTTGTTTCGATTGGAATTTTTTTCCCTGCTACGTTGAAATAATTTCCAAAGTCTGCCGAGTTCCAGTTTAACTTTAGATCTTGGTTGTATACTCCCAGTACACATTGTGTATATAGTGTCACCAGAATTAACACAATACGTTGGAAGTTTACCATCATTTTGTCTGTGTTAAGTTATATATTGTTGGTGTGATGTTCGTATCCCCTTATCCTCCCTGTTTATATGTACATCATTACGCCTTCCTGCTGCTGACCTCACCACCATATACACATTGATCAGTATAGTACATGTATCACTCGCTCACACGATGATGAAAGTCTATCTAATCGTATGACGGATTATGAGTAGCAGCATTGTCAACTTATTCTCTTATAGAAGTGTACACTTTTCAAGCAAATTTTATAACACGAGGCTGTGGATCGAACTCCAGCTGACACAAATCCTCGTTAGGTATTGTGAAACACTGTTGAAAGGTCATGGTTAGGTGCGTTATCGGGGTACCTCGTGCTCACGGACGATGTCTATATTTAGACGTTCTAGTATACCTTTATGCTATATTTACATTTCTCCTGGTTAAATCGACGGTCACTGGATTATGAATCATAACACGCTAGCAGTAATATGATCCATGTGCGCGGGTACATGTACCCAATCATAGTTAAACGTTGTGCCATACCTGTATATTCACATTACAATTCGGGACAAACATTACATACGTTAACAATATTTACATGTCCTAGGTATTACGGCGCTGTGGCTTTAATGTTAAAGGTACCCCAGAATCAGCTATGATAGCGAAGAGGCGTTATACCCCGAGTTGGTTTTAACTACTCTTCTCCTTGGATTTACAGTGACTTGCCTTTCAAATTATTCGTCTCTCGATTTAAAAGCAATTTTCTTGAAGTTCCTGATACCGAAAGAATTGGGTCTCATTTTAATTTGGTGCGGCAGTTTTGTACTGGCAGTGTACAAATCCCGCGTTCGACCCCTGTACGATTTTATCTCTGTATTTGTCTTTTTCTGTGTTTATCAGTCTGTCCTTTTCTGTGTGTCTGTCTGTCTTTGTCTGTCTCATTTTCTATATCTGTGTCTATCTCAGTGTTTGTTTATGTCTTTCTCAATGTGCCCGTGTGTCTGTCTATCTTTGTGTGTCTGTCTGTCTTTCTCAATGACTTTATGTGTGTGACTGACTAGCTCAGTGTCTATCTCTGTATGTCTGTCTGTCTCAGTGTCTATCTCTGTGTGTCTGTCAGGCTCAGTGTCTGTCTCTGTATGTCTGTCTGTCTCAGTGTCTATCTCTGTGTGTCTGTTTGTCTCAGTGTCTATCTCTGTGTATCTGTCTGTCTCAGTGTCTATCTCTGTATGTCTGCCTGTCTCAGTGTCTATCTATGTGTGTCTGTCTGACTCAATGTCTATCTCTGTGTGTCTGTCTTTCTGTCTCAGTGTCTATCTCTGTGTGTCTGTCTGTCTCAGTGTCTATCTCTGTGTGTCTGTCTGTCTCAGTGTCTATCTCTGTGAGTCTGTCTGTCTGAGTGTCTATCTCTGTGTGTCTGTCTGGCTTAGTGTCTATCTCTGTGTGTCTGTCTGTCTCAATGTCTATCTCTGTGTGTCTGTCAGTCTCAGTGTCTATGTCTGTGTGTCTGTCTGTCTGTCACAGTGTCTATCTCTGTTTGTATGTTTGTCTCAGTGTCTATCTCTGCGTGTCTGCCTGTCTCAATGTCTATCTCTGTGTGTCTGTCAGGCTCAGTGTCTATCTCTGTGTGTCTGTCTGGCTTAGTGTCTATGTGTGTGTGTCTGTCTGTCTCAGTGTCTATGTCTGTGTGTCTGCCTGTCTCAATGTCTATCTCTGTGTGTCTGTCAGGCTCAGTGTCTATGTCTCTGTGTGTCTGTCAGGCTCAGCGTCTATGTCTGTGTGTCTCTCAGGTTCAGTGTCTATCTATGTGTGTATATCAGGCTCAGTGTCTATCTCTGTATGTCTGCCTGATTCAGTGTCTATCTCTGCGTGTCTGTCTGACTCAGTGTCTATTTCTGTGTGTCTGTCTTTCTGTCTCAGTGTCTATCTCTGTGTGCCTGTCTGTCTCAGTGTCTATCTCTGTGAGTCTGTCTGTCTGAGTGTCTAACTCTATGTGTCTGTCTGGCTTAGTGTCTATCTGTGTGTCTGTCTGTCTCAGTCTCTATCTCTGTTTGTATGTTTGTTTCAGTGTCTACCTCTGTGTATCTGCCTATCTCAATGTCTATCTCTGTGTGTCTGTCAGGCCCAGTGTCTTTGTCTGTGTGTCTGTCTGTCTTTCTAAGTGTCTATCTCTGTGTGTCTGTCTGTTTGTCTCAGTGTCTGTCTGTCTAAGTGTCTATCTCTGTGTGTCTGTCTGGCTCATTGTCTATCTCTGTGTATCTGTCTGTCAGTCTTCGTGTCTATCTCTGTGTGTCTGTCTGTTTTAGTGTATATCTCCATGTATATGTCTGGCTAAGTGTCTTTCTCTGTGTGTCTGTCAGGCTCAGTGTCTATCTCTATGTGTCTGTCTGTTTGTCTCAGTGTCTGCCTGTCTCAGTGGTTCAGTGTCTATCTCTGTGTGTCTGTCTGGCTCAATGTCTATCTCTGTGTGTATGTCTGTCTGTCTCAGTGTCTATCTCTGTGTGTCTGTCTGTCTGTCTGTCTCAGTGTATATCTCTGTGTGTCTGTGTGTCTGTGTGTCTGTCTGCCTGACTCAGTGTTTATCTCTATGTGTCTGTCTGTCTGTCTCAGTGTCTATCTCTGCGTGTCGTCTGTCTCAGTATCTATCACTGTGTTTCTGTCATGCTCAGTGTCTATATATAAGTGTCCGTCTTTCTGTCTCAGTGTCTATCGCTGTGTGTCTGTCAGGTTCAGTGTCTATCTCTGTGTGTATGTCAGCTCATTGTATATTTGTATGTGTCTGTCTGTTTCAGTGTCTATCTTTTTGTGTCTGTCTGCTCAGTGTCTATCTCTGTGTGTCAGTCTGTTTGTCTTAGGATTTTTCTCTGTTTGGCTGTCTGTTTGTCTCAGTATATGTCTGTCTCAGTGTCTATCTCTGTGTGTCTGTCAGGCTCAGTGTATATATCTGTGTGTCTGTCTGGTTCAGTGTCTATCTCTGTGTGTCTGTCTGGTTCAATGTCTATCTCTGTGTGTATGTCTGTCTGTTTCAGTGTCTATCTCTGTGTGTCTGTCTCAGTGTCTATCTCTGCGTGTCTATATGTCTCAGTGTCTATCAATGTGTGTCTGTCTGGTTCAGTGTCTATCTCTGTGTGTCTGTGTGTCTGTCTGCCTGACTCAGTGATTATCTCTATGTATCTGTCTGTCTGTCTCAGTGTCTATCTCTGCGTGTCTGTCTGTCTCAGTATCTATCACTGTGTGTCTGTCATGCTGAGTGTTTATATCTGTGTGTCTGTCAGGTTCAGTGTCTATATCTGTGTGTCCGTCTGTCTGTCTCAGTATCTATCTCTGTCCGCGTCTGTCTCAGTGTCTATCTATGTGTGTTTGTCCGCTCATTGTATATTTGTATGTGTCTGTCTGTTTCAGTGTCTATCTCTGTGTGTCTGTCTGCTCAGTGTCTATCTATGTGTATCTGTCAGGCTCAGTGTCTATCTATGTGTGTCTGTCTGTCTCAGTGTCTATCTCTGTTTGTCTGTCTGGATCAGTGTCTATCTCTGTGTGTCTGTCAGGCTCAGTCTCTGTGTGTCTGTCTGCTCAGTGTCTATCTATGTGTATCTGCCAGGCTCAGTGTCTATCTATGTGTGTCTGTCCGGATCAGTGTCTATCTATGTTTGTCTGTCAGGCTCAGTGTCTATCTATTTGTGTCTGTCTGTCTCAGTGTCTATCTCTGTTTGTCTGTCTGGATCAGTGTCTATCTCTGTGTGTCTGTCTGTCTCAGTGTCTATCTATGTTTGTCTGTCAGGCTCAGTGTCTATCTATGTGTGTCTGTCCGGATCAGTGTCTATCTATGTTTGTCTGTCAGGCTCAGTGTCTATCTATGTTTGTCTATCTCTGTGTGTCTGTCTGGCTTAGTGTCTATGTGTGTGTGTCTGTCTGTCTCAGTGTCTATCTGTGTTTGTCTGTCAGGATCAGTGTCTATCTATGTTTGTCTGTCAGGCTTAGTGTCTATCTTAGTGTGTCTGTCAGGATCAGTGTCTATCTATGTTTGTCTGTCTGTCTCAGTGTCTTTCTCTGTGTATCTGTCAGGCTCAGTGTCTATCTATGTGTGTTTGTCAGGCTCAGTGTCTATCTATGTTTGTCTGTAAGGATCAGTGTCTATCTATGTTTGTCTGTCAGGATCAGTGTCTATCTCTGTGGGTCTGTCAGGATCAGTGTCTATCTATGTTTGTCTGTCTGGCTCAGTGTCTTTCTCTGTGTATCTGTCAGGATCAGTGTCTATCTATGTGTGTTTGTCAGGCTCAGTGTCTATCTATGTTTGTCTGTCAGGATCAGTGTCTATCTATGTTTGTCTGTCAGGATCAGTGTCTATCTTAGTGTGTTTGTCAATCTCCATGTGTATCTCTATGTCTATCTATGTGTGTCTGCCAGTCAGTCTATTCCCGTGTATCTGTCAGGCTCAGTGTCTATCTATGTTTGTCAGTCAGGCTCAGT